GCGATCTAAGATGTGAAGACACTAGAATCAGCCCAGAAAAAAAAATCACTCATGTGGACAAATTAGAGGGCAAACTTGCTGCGAACATGGAGGAAACATGGAAGGAAACGTGGGCAGGACCCAGGGAGATGGGAAACCCCAGTGACCAGGACCATCTCAGTTCTTCTGTGCTGAACCTGAAGAATCAGGTAGCAGCACATCTCAAAAATGCCTTTTTTAACCCCTCCTAGATTTCCTTCTATACTTGGTGGCCAAGCATACTTGGTCCCCAGGGCAGCACCTTGCTGCCGTGCATCAGGAGGATGGAGATGGGCCAAGCTAGTACTTTGAGCCTTTTTTCCTCAATAAAATGCCTTGCACCCTCTACTGATCCCAGCAACATCTCTCCTTGCAAATGAAACATGCCTGGCACTGGTTCCCAGCACTGTGGCTGGCTGGTACAGGACAGCCTCAACACAAAGGCCAAAAAGACATTCTCCCTGCCTGTTCATCTCGCTGGGACGGCAGCTCTTTCCCCAGAGGACTTTAAAAAGCATCTGGCTGAGAGCACCTATGGAACAAGACTGAGAGGTAAAACCTGTCCTTTTGAATAAATCCTTCATGACACATTTGACTGCCTGTGCTCTGGGCTTGCACAAGGATTGGTCTGTGCAGTCAACTTGAACTTTAAAAGTCACATTGTGTTGTTTTTTTAGATAAAGGAACAAAGCAATAAAATAAAAATGAGGGTGGACATATTTCCTGAGCAAGGTTAGAGGAGGGTGGATAGGGAGTGCAGTAGGGAATCCTGACTGCCTCTTTTGCCATGGTACTACTTGAGACTGATGGAACGATTTAGGGTCCTTGGTTCCAAGGCATACAGATGGATCCTTGCTAGGTTGAGCAGGAAGGGAAGAAAAATAGGCAATGTTCTGCACCAGACTATAGCTGCCAATGAGAGGCTGTGAGCAAACTGGGGCCCCAGAACTGGGGCATGCCCAGGGTTGGCTGAACCCCATCTCCAAGCTGATTTCAGTGTGTAGGGCTGAGTATTTCTGGGATTTATCAAGAAGCTACTATCAGGGCTAAAAATAAAGCTTTACATCAGTGTGGAGCTGCTTGGGCAGCCCTTGTGTATCCAGGGCTGACAGAGGGTCTGTGGACTGGGGCACAGGTCTATTAATCTACCAGTACCATCTCCCCCATCTGCCTGGGTCCTGGGGTGCCACCAAACTGCTCACACTCATTCCAGTGCAGAGGATCTGCTGCTGCAGAGAGCCTTGTACTTTGTGCTGGTTTGCAGGGAGGACCCAGCACTGCCTTCATTTTTAGCACCCTGGTAACCAGCAGCACTCCTGGGCACACTAGTGCCACTGGTTGACACCTCACAACTGCCCAGAGCCCAGCTTTTCCCCTCCTTTTAAATTGGATTCCAGCTCTGTGGCTCCTTGCATTTGATAAGCACCTTGAGAGGGCTTGTTTGAGGATGCCCATGTTGGGTCTGTGATGTGCAGCCCCTTCATGAGGACTCCCCACAGGTCTGTGGGGGAGGATGGGATCTTTGGCCTCTGAAAAGCCATCTCCATTTCGTTCCCTGGGTATAAGGCTGTGCTGTGGGGATGAATCCTAGAATGGTTTGGGTTGGAAGGAACCTCAAAGTTCATCTAGTTGCAGCTCTCTGGCATGGGCAGGGCACCTTCCACTAGACCAGGTTGCTCCAAGCCGTTTCCAACCTGGCCTTGAACACTGCCAAGGATGGGGCAGCCACAGCTTCTCTGGGCAACCTGTGGGCAACAGGAAAGAATTTCTCCTTAATATCTAAATCTCTCAGTTTAAAGCCATCCTCTCACCCTATCCCTAACTCTTTTCCAAGCTGAACAACCCCAGCTCTCTCAACCTGTCTTCATAGAACATGAAAAGTGACAGGTCAGCCTGTAACACAGGGGATCCCCCAGCACAAGGGGAGTTGGATTTATTGCATAAGGGAATTTGCAGGAAGAGGAAAAGGAAGGGTGGGGTGTGTTCAGGCATCCCCTCCTTCAGCTTGCAGACTCCTGGTGCAGAAACAGAGAGGTACAAGCACCCCCTCAAAGTTCTGCACTTTGTTATGGAGATATGAGGCCACCAAAGGGAGAACAAAAATGTGGTTGTGTCTTCCTGCTCCCCCTCTCCGTGTCCCCATCGGAGACAGCAGCAGCGTCGGAGCAGCGAGGCCCCAAAATGGGAGGCAGAAGGGACGCTGTGGGAGATGGAAAGGGATGGAGAGGAGGGGGGAGCCCTGCTCCGGCCACGGGGACTTGTTTTAACGGAGGGAAAGGAGGAAAAAATCCCTCGCACGGGTGTAGCGAGGCAGAAAGGAGCCGTGCAAGAGGGTGGGGAGCTCGTCAGTCTGCAAAACCATTTCTGCTCCACCGCACTTACGTCTCGGTGTACTTTCCTGGCAGATGCACAAGACCCCGCTGGCACAAGCCTCTCCGAGCCCCCGCGGAACACAACCCGCTCCCCCTGCGTGAGGAGGGACGGGGGCTTGTGCTCGGGCTCGGAGTGCCTCTCTCGGTGCCGCTAGATGGCAGGCGGCCTCTCCCTCCGCTGTTCCCGGCCCCGCAGCAGTTCCCGGCCCCGACGCGGGGCCTCCCGGCTTTCTAGCATTCCCGCTGGGTTTTGGGGAGGTGCAGCGTGGGCCAGAGTTTCCGTGTCGGGATGCTTTGCAAAACCGAGGGGCACCCCGACCCAATCAAAAGGGGCTTTCGCAATGCGGAACGACGGCGGAGACGGCCCTGCGAGGTTCCGACGCCTCTGGGCTGCCTTTCCCTGAGACAGAATCCTAAAACCCTCCCTTTCGCTTCCCTCCCGCCCCCGCTTTTGGTTTCTTTCTGGGGTTTTGTTTGTTTGTTGGGTTTTTTCTTTCTTTTTTTTTCTTTCCCTCTCCGAAAGGCTGCCTGCTTTTCCCCAGCTAATTTCAAGCATCAAGGTAGCAAAATCAGGCAGATGCATCCCTCTGAACACAAGCTGAGCCTTAGCGATGTGCAGACAAGTTTCAAGATGATTTCCAAGCACCGGCGGATTTTTATGCTGGCAGTAAACTAAGCAGAGCCTGAGGCGGGCACATAAATGGCTTAACCTGACATTCCTCTATAGGGTTGCATTTGTTTAGCCTTCAGAATAGGGTGGCTGCATCCAGCCTGCTTCTAGGTTCCAGCTCCCAGCTCCTGCTTTCCCCCAAGCTGTGCTAGGGGGAGAACTAGCAGGGGCACATCCAACACCATGGCACACAGTATGCGAATAACCCTGGGGTAAAACTGTTCCCAGGCCCCGTTTTCATCTCTGAGCTGCAACAACCATCTCTGCTGCTTTTGGTGCATCCCTGCTCCTATGAACCATTCAAAGTTGTGAGGGAATTTCAAGACGGGAAAGCATGAGGGGAGTTCGAGAGGGGCAGTCGTGAGGAGTGTTCATGGGGGCAGTAGTGAGGGGAGTTCAAGAGAGGCAGCCGAAAGAGGAGGTCATGAGGAGCAGTCGTGAGGGGAGTTCATGAGGGGCAGTCTTGAGGTGAGCTCATGGGAGCAGTCATGAGGGGAGTTCATGAGGGGCAGTAATGAGGGGAGTTAATGAGGTTCAGTGGTGAGGAGAGTTCATGAGGGGCAGTCTTGAGGGGAGTTTATGGGGGCAGTTGAGAGGGGAGTTCATGATGGGCAGTCGAGAGATGAGCTCAAGAGGGGGGTTCAAGAGGGGCAGTTGAGAGAGGAGCTCCTGAGGGCAGTCTTGATGTGAGCTCATGGGTGCAGTCATGATGTGAGCTCATGGGAGCAGTCATGAGGGGAGTTCATGAGGGGCAGTCATGAGCTGAGTTCATGGGGGCAGTCGTGAAATGAGGTCATGGGGGCAGTTGAGAGGGGAGTTCATGAGGGGCAATCTTGAGGTGACCTCATGGGGGCAGTCAAGAGAGGAGTTCATGAGGGGCAGTTGTGAGGGGGGTTCATGAGGGAAGTCGTGAGGGGAGTTCATGGGGGCAGTCATGAGGGGAGATCAAGAGGGGCAGTCGAGAGAGGAGTTCATGAGGGGCAGTAGAGAGGGGAGTTCATGCAGGGCAGTCGTGAGGGGAGTTCATTAGGGGCAGTTGAGAGAGGATTTCCTGAGTGGCAATCAAGAGGAGAGTTCATGAGGGGCAGTCAAGAGGGGAGTTCATGAAGGGCAGTAATGAGGGGAGTTCATGATGGGCAGTCGAGAGATGAGCTCATGGGGGCAGTCATGAGGGGGGATCAAGAGGGGCATTTGAGAGAGGAGTTCATGAGTGGCAGTCTTTATGTGAGCTTATGGGTGCAGTTGAGGGGAGTTCATGAGGGGCAGTCAAGAGAGGAGTTCATGAGGGGCATTCGAGAGGGAGTTCATGAGGTAAGTCGTGAGGGGAATTCATGAGGGGTGGTTGAGAGGGGAGTTCATCATGGGCAGTTGTGAGGGGAGTTCAAGAGGGGCACTCTTGATGTGAGCTCATAGGGGCAGTCGTGAGGGGAGCTGATGAGTGGCAGTTGATAGGGGAGTTCATGAGGGACCTTAATGAGGGGAAATCCTGAGTGGCAGTCGTGAATGTAGTTCAGGCGGGGCAGTCATGAGTTCAAGAGGGGCAGTCGAGAGGGGAGTTCATGAGTGGCAGTCGTGAGGGGAGTTCAAGAGGGGCAGTCATGTATGTAGTTTAAGAGGGGCAGTTGTGAGGAGAGTTCATGAGGGGCAGTCGAGAGGGGAGTTCATGGGGGCAGTTATGAGTGAGTTCATGGGGCAGTCGTGAGGGGAGTTCATGGGGCCATTCGTGAGGGCAGTTCAAGAGGGGGATTCATGAGGGGAGTTCATGAGGTGAGTTTATGGGGGCAGTCATGAGGTGAACTCCTTGGGGGCAGTCGTTAGGGGAGTTCATGGAGGCAGTCGTGAGCGGGGAGAAGAAGCCATGAGAGGTTGAAGTAAGTTGGTGAGGGGAGAGGAGGGTGACCATGAGAGATTAGGGTAAATCATGAGGGGACATTGTGAAGGGAGAGGAGGGTGGCCATGAGGGGTGAGAGTAAATCATGATGAGACGTTGTGAGAGGAGAGCAGGGGTGATCATGAGTTGTGTGAGGGGAGCTCATGAAAGGAGAGCAGGGGCAGCCATGGACTGTGACTGGTGGCCATGATGGGAGACCTTGAGGGGAGATATTGAGGGGAGATGAGGGGTGGCTGTGAGGGGTAGGGGTGGCAGCTATACAGAGTAGGCTTCTATGGCAGGTAGATGAGGAGTGACTGTGAGTGGAGATCATGAGTGGCAGTCCTGAGGGGAAATGTTGAGGGGATATCAGTTTGCCCTTAGTGACATGGTTTAGTGGTGGGCTTGGCAGCACTGGGGTAATGATTGGACTCAGTCTTAGAGGTCTTTTCCAACCTAGCTGATCCTATGATTCTGTGATGCTGCTCTGCTGACTACAGGGAAGGATGCTCTGAGGTTGCATCTGCATTGTGGGGCTTCCATGTGCTTTGTTTTCTCACCCCTATTCTGGATACAAAGGATCAAGCTACCTGATTGGGGGGTGGACACGGACACATTGGATGTTTCTGAAACTCACCCCCTCCTGGGACAGGGCTTTTTTTAGACTGAACTAGGAAGCGCAAACCTCACCCTTAGCTTCCTCAAGGGTTTGGTTCTTCCTAGAGTTTTCTCCTTGCTGGAAATTTCTTTTTTGCACCTCTGGCCCTGATCCAGACACATGCTTAAGCACACACTTAGCTTCAGACCCTAGCCCCCTGCACTCCCACAAGTGACTTCTTGGATGAGTCTGTGTGTCCCTTCCTGCCTTGGGAAAGCTCATGCCTCTCTATGCTCCTGCTATGAGATGACGCCACCATGGCAAGGGGGTTGGAACTAGATGATCTTGAGGTCCTTTCCAACCGAAACCATTCTATGATTCTATGATGCGTCTCCTTTTCTCGCCACTAGCAGCAGGAGGCAGGAGCATCACCTTCTTTTGCTATGCATCTGCCACAAAACTAGCCCCATACCTATGCAGGGAGAGAGTTATCAAATCTCTGGTGAGGGCATGTGAATGCTGCACCTGAAGATCTGGTGTCCCCAAGAACTGAACACCTGCAGCTCTGAGAGCTAATGTCTATGGGCCAGCCCATCCTCATCCTGCCTGCTCTTCTCACCAGGGCATGACAAGGTAATGCTTAAATTGCCAGTAGTGCCTGTGACTATTTGATGCTGGCTGAGATGGCCAACCAAAATCCCAGCTGTTCTCACCAGCAAGGACTCAAAAACTTGCCTCCATGTCAATGATGTGCCCCAACACCCATTCTGCAGGGACTGGGACCACAAGTTCATTTTGGCACAGGCCACCAAAAACAGTCTGATCCATTTGGTCACATGAATCCAACAGCTTGGATCCAGGTAGTCTCCCAGTTTTGGCTGTGCAAGAGCTCTGATAGAAATTCAGGTTGGTTTCCCTACCCTTCCACTTCTGTGAATTTAAATTCTGTAAACCCTAATGCAAGGAACTGAAATGCATATTGATTAATGGCCTTTTATGGATGCCTTGTAGAGCATATAAAAAATTATTTAAAACTTGCATTCTAGTATTAACGACTCTTGTCCCTGGCACTTTGCAGTGATTCAGTCTTGACTTTTAATTGAAATGCTTTAGTTAATATGAATTCCTTCAGCCAGAGAAGATGAAGTGCCCCTTCAAGTGTGTGCCGCAGAGGAGCTTTTGACTTCAAGGTTCCCAAACTGAAGCAGCTGTGACATTCCTGAAGAGGAGCCTCTGTCCTTCAAGTGGGTGCATGTGGGTTGTGCTCCGAGGAGCCATTTCTTTGGACTTCCCCTCTGTGTGCTGCTGATTTGATCACAGGGGGCTGCAGGACAAGTATTTCACTGCTCTGGCACTCAAGGCAATCACGTGGTAAATATTAATAACGTCCTTCAACAGGGCAGTAACTGCGCTCATGGTGCAGCACTCAGAAAATGGTGGCACCTCAGGTGATGCTATTATATCCGACTTCTGACAGCACCAGTGCATATATATGAGACAAAATTACTGTTACCAGGTTGAATACCTCATGCCTCCTTACTCATTTTCTTCTGTCTCTACATCTGATCCCAGGAGGCTTGTTCCTAGCCTTGAAGCTCAGGTCTGAAAGGGCACCTTGACTTGAAAACATTCCCTGGAGAGGATGTGGCATTTTGTAGGAGCAGAAAGAGATGGGAGCTTGGAGCTGCCAAGATGAATATGGCCCAGCTTGGTGGAGACAGCAGTTTTATTTAATATTTGCTAGCTCCATGGTGGCCAATGTGAGAGACAGGGTTCTGCCTTGTGGTTTGGTGAAGAAGACCAAGATCTTGCATGTTACGGAGACTTATTTCAGTGTTACCCTCCTGCTTTGTGACTTGAGCCTTCAACATGGCATGGGAGAGGATTTGTCTTTGTATTCTCTTTGCCTCCAAGGGAAGACAAGCCCACAAATAAGCACAGGGCCCCAGATGGGTGATGCAATGCCGGATCCAGTGCTCAACCCACCTAGGCCAATGCCTATATGGAAAGCTTGAGTCCCAGCAGTCCTCACTCCCACTGTTTTGTGAACTGAGAGACAACTGCATCTGTGAATCCGCCCTTCTGAGCTTTTAAAGGAAATCAGGATTTTCCATCCAGTCTCTGATAGGACAGGATGTTGAACAACAATCAGTGCCTCAAGCCAGGGGGGAATAGGGATTTCCAGGTGGCATGGTGTTGGCACAGGATAAGAGAATCCCCATGTGTTAAAGTGGACCTGTGACTGTGAGAGCTAGAGATGAGTAAGTGGTCTTGACCTATTATGGTTCAGGTTTAAAAAAGCGTTACTACATCTGCTGATTGCATGCTAAATGACCATTTGATTTTTTATGACTACATATAAAACGTGACCCAGCAGGTATCTGAAGTGCTTCTCACCACCACGAGTGGCTTTCCTATAGGTCTTATCAAAGCCACCAGTAACTGGATACTTCCTCTAAGACTAGTTGTCCATCCAGGTCATCATACATACAGTAAGCAGCGCTTTATGTGTAGATCCTGAGAGGAGTCACAATCACCAGCATAATTCAGGTGGTGAGTAACCATTAACCAACAGAAGGATTTAAAAAGGAAGTATTTTGCCAGATGCTGCAATTACATTTTTCCTTAAATATTAGTTTTGTTCCTTCTCTGCTTTTAGTTTCTTGATGACTTATCTTTATGGTAACATACCCATCATGAAGAAAGCCCCTCAGCTTGTCAATCAGAAATTAATTTCTTGATGACAGCTGGGATGAGCACCCAGCTTTTCTGTCTTGCTCCTCACAGGGACTCTCCCGTGGCAATGCAAGCCCACTGCTCTGTGAGTGGACTCAACCTGGTCCCGTAGAGAAGCTCCTCACAGGGCAGCATGGAACCCCCAAATTTGAAGATAAGCTCCAAGTCGCTTTAGGATCCATCTGCTAGAAATTCTAAGCAGTGGGTTTTTTCATATCCAAAGAAGGTCCATGTGTTCCTTCCTCCCAGGTGGTAAAAATACCACTCTATATCCAATTGTGCCATTGTGGCATTTTAGGGGTCAACTGAGTCAGACTGTGTTTCCAAGGCTTTTTGTTGTTGAGGTTGTTGATTTTACTTTGGGAGTCAGACAGGAATGGGCTTGACTCTCTAGGTCAAATGCTTAGCTGGAAACCATGGGGTTCGTTAGACAGCAAAGCAGTTCTTTGCCCCTGTGAAGTAAAAGAGTTAAAAATCATGAGCTAAATCTCCAAAACCCAAGCTGAGACATCCTTTAGATCCAATGTCATTGTACTTGCCTAATTCATTTTTTTTTAACCAACTCTGAGAGCTATAAACTCTAAGAGTAGGCAAAAGTGCATTCACACGTCTTGGCTATCTTAAGGAGTGTGTGTGGTGGTGTAGTTTGGGTGTACGAAGAGTACCTTGCCAAAGACTGTCCAGACTTTCCAAATTGCGGTGCTTTGTGCACATGGGTAGATCTGAACGTAGCCCTCATGAGTCTGTCAAATAACTAACCACATCCTACACTGCTTACAGATGACAACAACATTACTGTGGGGCTTTCAGCAAGCAGTAAGTTATGATTAGAAATGATGGGGGTTTATAATAAATAAATGGAGCATTCAGATGGAAAAGTTTGAGCTACTCCTCTAATCATGCCCTAGAGTGGCTGTGTGCTTAGGGAAGCCCTCCCCTCACTGTTGTACCATCGCACTGTGCATCATCTTTCAAAGTCACTTCAAAATGCAGTAGGTTCAGTTTGCTTTTGCTTGGAATCAGAGTTTCGCTGTTCAAGGAGAAAGCAAGACTCTGACACCACCACCACTTCTTTTTTTTCCTTGTTTTTTTTTTGAAGGTAGTGTTCAGAGTTGCTTTTCTGTGCACAAAATGAGGACGCTGGCAGTAGCTATCTGGAGTTTGTTCACACTAAAATCAGAGAGAAATGTCCTAACAGCATAGTCCATAATTCATGACTGTTGATTCCTCTCCTAGGCTACAGTGACATCAGTAAGTAACAAAAGACTGGATCCTCTCAAAGAATTCGAGGAGGAGATATTAGAGGTATTGGGCAAATGCTCTCCAAAGGACATGGAAACTGTAGCAGCCTGCCATCCCCCTGCAAGAAAAATGGAGTGAAAGCACATGAGATTTAAGTAATAAAAAATGTGAGTTTAATGCAGATTTGTATTTATATATTGCAGCATCTGGAGTTTCCAGTGAGTGTGACCACATCCTCTTAGAGTTGAGCAAGCCTTTACAAGTGAACCACAAGGAAACACATAAATTATTTGCTTAGGGAGAAAGAAAAGCTTTTGTTTTCTGTTATTTTACAGAATGCCCTTCTGACACAACCCTGTTTCTTCTGGGACCTGTGCTATGCAAGCACATTGTTGTTGTCCCAAAGGACATATCCCATCTCCCATCTTTAAGACACATTCCACTCTCCTGACTTTAAGACAAGGTAATAATATTTTCCTGACAACCAGAATAGAGAGGAAAGCTTAATAAATAATTGTGTTATTGTATTGCTAGAGCATCTGAATAGTGTGGCAGAACTGGATATCACCTGCTTTTTTCCTTTCAAGCTAGGGACATACCATGTCTGGGCAGCTTCTTTGATTTACCGTCCCTCAGCCTCCAACAGCACCTATTCGCAACCCATCTGTTGGAGAGAAAACCCATCTAGTTCCACTCTGTAGTTATTTAAGGAAAAGGACCACAAAGGCTTATATCATCCAGGAGTCTGAGTCCTGTGGGAAACCATCAGGTTTTAATTTTTAGCTCACACCATAGACAGGTAAGTCACTGAGACCAGACTTGAGCATTGTCTGGTGGTGCAAAACTGGTGGGTTATGAATGTGTTCCCATGATCCCATGTCCATGGTTTGGGGTTGTTTTTGTTTTTTTTTTTTGACAAATCCAGAGCATGTGCTGCAGTGTTCTTGGCAACTGGCAGCCTGTCCATGCCACCAGCCATTGCAGCCAGCATGGAAATATTCGCTGGCACACCAGGACACGTGGGTGCTCTTGCATGGTGAAGAGTTTTGTGGAGGGCATTGCTTTGAGGATAGGCTGATGTCTCTAATTTACTACCTTAGGAAAAGCCTCTGAAAAGCAATGAGGCAGAATGCCATTGCATTGCCAGGGCATGGCACAGCACCAGTTCCACAGCTCCACTTCCCAGGTGTTATGTTCAATGATGCCATATAGGAACAGTGACCCCAGAAGTGGCCTTTCCCCATGAGACACCATGGTGGAGATAAACACCAAGTCTTTGTGTTGGGGATGGCTATCATGAACGGCAGATGGTGCAAGAGGAAGCATAAACAGCAGGATCAGCCAGCGTTTTTCCTAGATGATGAATCAAAGCCATAAAGCTGCTGGCTCCTGCCTTGCATGGTGTCCAGTCCAGGAGAACAGAGAGGACTGGTGGCAGAGGGTTGGGCCACAAATGTGGTAAAGATCCCCGGCAGAGGAAGAGCCTTGAAAGCAGGAAAGTGGAGCTCTGGAAGACATGCTGAACTCACTCTAGACTGGGTGGGGCAGAAGACCAAAACATGAATCAGCTACAGAGCACTGAAACGAGGCTAATCTTGGTCATTTGGAGTTGGCTGCCACTGACTTGCCTTGTTGCCAGTGAGTTCAACACAAGCTGGACAGGATATGCCTGGCAGAGAGCCTGCTGAAGTTGATTAAATCACCATGCTGTTGCTGCCTGAAACCCTTCCTACACCCCTTTCTGAAATGGCTTTTGCAGCAGTACACTAGCACCCTGGAGCATCAACCGGACGTCTTCCCATTCTTCCTGCAATGGACAGCAATGGAGTGTGCGCTTGGTTAGCATACAGGAAGATGGACCATTATATTGATCATTGCTTCTGTACGGTGATCTCTTCTGTTTTGCCCTGCAGGATGTAAGAGCAAGAAGGGCTGCAGGAATGAACCATCGCTGAGGAGAAACAAAACCACCAAGGACTTCTGTGGCTCTCTCACTGCTCCGTGGGAACCAGGAAGGATGCGTCAAGAGACATAACAGCCTGCTTGCCCATGAGACTGTGCGATACTCGATGCTTCTGAAAAAAACAATGTTGCAGGGAATCCCTGGCCATACTCTGGAGCAATACCTCGAGCCTAACATAGTACGCAAGAGATCTCTCTGTGGTAGGGACAGGGCACCCACTTACACTAGCATATCTCCCAGCGTCCTTGGCCTTCAGACAGATCAGCCATGACTGTATGGTGGAGGACATGGGTAGAGGTGGAGCAGAAGCCCCATGTTCCTAGCTGCACCAGTGACCATTGGAGAGGTATCCAGGAGGGACAGCTAGCTCAGTCCACACAAGCCAGGTAACTGCTTGGCTCCTAATGGGAACCTGGAGAACATCAAGGAACAAGGTCTCCGTGCAGGTCCTGTCCTATTGCCCCACAGGGGCTGACCTAAGCCTCTTGCTCAAACTTACCAGCTCTACCTCATTTTTTCTTTGTGTGGATAAGCTGAGTTGCTGAAGAGTCCAGATGTGTGGGATGCTCTTCCAGTGAGTTTCATAGGAAAGAGCAAAGGCAAGGCCAGTCCCATCCTGAATATGAGCAGAGAGCTTTATCATGGCTGGTGGTTACAAAAAGTGGGGGAAATATGGCAGTGAGTCAGGAAGCGTTGGGTTTCATCAGAAAATGGCAAATGCAAGCCAGTTTGCAGGGAGTGACAGAGAAGAATGGAGATTTGGGGTACAGCAAGCAGAAAGATAGGTGGAGGGCTTGTGGGAGTCTAGGCTAGATGCAGGGTGTTCCAGCAGAGAGGTTAGCAAAGCAACCAAGAGGTAGGAAATCTTTGAAACAATAGAAAATCTTCAGAAACAACATGACAGCGTCATTTTATACTGGGTTAAAGATCTGGTTCTTGTGGCCCTAGTGTTTAACTCTGTCCCTAAAACTCAAATTACTGCGCTGTTTGATGATGATGGCTTTAGGTGCTTTGAAAATCGCAAGTATATTCTGCAGCATAATTGGTCTAAAATAGGTTTTCCTCATTCTTCTGATGACAGCATCAGGGCCAGACCTCCTAGGTGTTTTAACCTGCTTGTTTACACTGCTTCAAGGGAGATTAGAGTCAGGCACCACATTTTTCCTTTAGTCTTTTTTTCTGTCTTTACTTCCTCATCCCTGACAGGGGAAGCACTGTTCTTTCCATGCTCCTTGTTTCTGATTGAAGCAGACAATAGAAAAAGTGACAATTAGGAAATAAAGAACCTACAGTGTCTGCTTTGGAAGGGAGAGCAGATCCCACTGCTGAGCAGCACCAAGTCAAACCAGTGGCTGCCTGTTTGGGTCAGATGAAGATATTGCTGCCTTATATTCCTGGAACTGCCTGAGACAGCATGGTACACTGCTGCTCTACAGACCAAATAATAATATTAGCATTAGTGTTGAGTAGTATGCATTTATAGTAGTCCTGCAAGGAGCAGGGAGTTGGACTCAATGATACTTACGGATCCCTTCCAAGTTGAGTTATTTTATGATCCTATCATTTCAGGATGCTCAATTGCAGTTTGGAAAATAATGGTGATTAGAAGCAAATGGCAAGGCCAAATAACTTATTATTTGGGAGATCAAGTAACCATCTGGGGCAGGGTTGCAGATACAAACTTTGGTCTTCCCAGATTACTGTCCTCTGCCAAAATGATTAAAGGTTGCTAAGCAGTGTCAGTGTATTACCCCCAAACCGAAAGAATGTAACAAAAGTGAACGAGTTCAGTGCAGAAGAACTGAACTTTTATCAAGCCTAAATATAGATAATCATTGGTAATGATGATTTCTGTTCCTTAAAGCATGCCGGGCACCTGAAACATCTAATGAAAGCCAAGATACTTTCTTTATGTTGTTTACAGTGCAGAAATCTTATGGATCAGCCAAGGTGGACATGCAACCCCTTCTCCAGGTCTTGTCTGGCCCTTGTTCAGTGTCCAGGGCTCTTGCCAAATGCTGCCTCAAGCCTCCTTTTCCATCCCTTCCAATGCCAGGGAAAATGAAACCCAGTCTCAGACTGTCTTCCTCCACTGCAAATAATAAAACAGAAAACCTTACCAAAGTACAACCTTATGAAAGGAAAGGCAGACAAAGAGAGCAGAAGGAGAGAGAAGATAGCATCCTAAACTATGAAACAAGACTCATTTTCTCAAGGATCCCACCCAATAGCCTCTCCAACCTCACATTTACAAGGCAGCAAAAAGCCCCTTCCTGTCAATGTATCACCTTCACCTTTTGTGTGTCTCCACCCTCTTGCCCAGGGGAGGATGCTAGGTCTGAAGGTCCCCCTGGAGCTCTTGCTCTCTGCTAGTCTCTTCTGTCCCTCCTGGTCACCTCTCTCATCTCCACAGAATATCCTGTGGTGCCTCCACAGGACTACAAGCCTAGAGAGAACCTCAAAGCCAGCATTTATCACAAAAGGGGGTATTTCCCAAATAGGGTTTTGGGACTATGGTAGAGTGATCAAAGCAGTCAGGAACTGCACATGGAGGTGACACGGGAAACAGGCATAGTAGATGATGGAAGGTCCAGGATAAAGGATGAGGACCTGAAATCATCCCATCATGTCTCATCAGGGACACAAAAAGGAGTCTGAGGTGCACAGCAGAAAACTACCAGTAGCACAGGGACCATCAGAGCTTGCTGGAAGTTCACCTGCCTGCCTAGGTGAGGACTAGCCAGCAGTGGAGATGTTGAGTAACATGGGGCTGGTGTGCACTCCTCCGATGAAGCCAGCTGTGTGCTGTTCATCTCTCCAGATTTCCTAGTACTTGTTCTCTTGTTCTGGGAAGAGGAGAGAGCTGCAAGAGGCCCATCTCACGGGGATGTTTAGAGAAAGGAAAGTCCATTGTGTGAAAGAATTTGGTATTCCAGGGTTTGTTTTCCTTCTGACACAGAACAAAACACCACCATGTCAAAACCCTCTGTAAGGCAAAACAGAACCAAAAAAAATCCCCCAAAAGCAACAAACTGTGGCGTTTAGTTTGGACACGGTCTGTAGAAGCATTTTTCTTTTCTTTTTGGGTTTTCAGTCATCAGGATACCAACTACTGTAGCTATTTCAGGAAAAGGAAAAAAAAAAAAAGGAAAACAAAATCCTTGCCAGAGCAAAGAAGGGGAGCCTTTTCCTGCACCAAGATCCAACCCTGCCTTCAGTGGGTTTTCTGTGTGGTGGCACCAGGATCAAAGTGGTTCCCTTCTTTCTGCCCTAGGAGGGGAGCAGAGCTGCAAAGGACCCTCCAAATCTTAAGTGGGAAAATCAGGGAACAGGCATTGCAGTGACCATAGAAGGCATCAGCAGAGTGGTTTTGCATTAGCTTTCCATGAGCAGAAGGACTCCTACAAGAAATTTTAGAAAGCTTGCATGTAAAGGTTGGCTCCCAGCAACAAAAATGGGGGCAAGTCACTGATTTGCACGGTGCTTTGGGTTAGACCCTGCAAATGTCTTTCATGTCAAGAGCCTCTGGCCCAGCTCTCCAGCCCAGTTTCCCAGCCTCCCTGATGGTCCTGGATGGGCTTGTGTCTCTCCTTATGCTTTCAGCCCCTGGGAAGGTGCTATTTTGTAGGTACTGCTGCTTGGGTGAGTTTCCCCAGTGGGGCAATCCAGGGTGCAGATGCCTTCAGTGGCAGCAAAAAAGCAGCTCACCACCACGTCTCTCTGAGAGTGTTTTCTGAGCGCTTGGCATGGCGCCTGGCCGCATTTCACTGCTGCCTTTTCATTTGCGTTAATTCACTGCGTTTCCTTTCTTGCTCCTTTGCAAGGAACAGAGGGAGAGCTTGTTCCAGCAGACTGGCCCCATCCGCTCCACCCGGCTCTGCTGGAGCGAGGGTTGGAAAAGAGGGATGGAGGCAAAGGGGTATCTCCCACCCCTCCGGGGCCCCGTGTGCCGCCTGCGTGCTGCTTCCCAGCAAATACGGTAAGCGTTCAGCCTAAAAATGTAAGTCTGATCTCATGACACAGGGTGGCCCTGCATTCCTCACCTCTGACATAACCCGCTGGGAGTGTTCTCCGCAGAAAAACACAAACAAGATGTACTGGTGGGCTGGCGGTGGGGGCCAGGCGGCTGGCAGATGTGCTCCAGAGCCCCCGCGCAGCCCCCCGGGTGCCGCAGCCCTGCTCCAGCACAGCCTGTACCCTCCCGGCACGGGTGAAACCGCAGCCCGTGCTGGGAGGACAGAGCCGTCCATTGCTTCTTATATCAGGCGATGCACGGGTGTGTGCCGCAGCCTCCCCTCTCCCAGCCCTGTGCCCTAGGCAGGGGGGTGGTGGCAGGGTAACTTGATGTGGTTCAGTATCATCCAGGGAGGCAACAGAGCTCCCCTGGGATTTTGATTGGTGAATGCCTGAGGGCGTTTTTTAAGGACTTGTGGTGCTTTTGCAATCGGTTGGTGGTTGTTATTTTTTGCCTCATGTTTGTTTCTGCATCTCAGTCTCCCTGAGGCAGGCTCTGCTCTGGGCTTGCCATGACCATGGCTGGTGCAATTGTTCCACTGGCCTCCCATCCCCATTAGACTTCCACGCTTATCAGGAGCTCCACTGAAGCCAACAGCTCTGTATGCTCTGAGTGCATCATGCCCAGTGCCCTACACAACTTGTCACCCAAAAAGCCTTGGGTTTCACAGGGCACTTGATGCCTCCTTGTACCCCAACAGGGCACAGGGATTAAACGATTAAATGGTCACATGGAGAATCAGGGCAGGGTAGTGATGCGAGTCCCACTGCCATAAGCACAAAGCTGACTTTCTTCCCAGCCAAACCCTCCTGCAAGTACAGCCTTCTCTTGAGCAGGGGGCAGATCCTGCTCTGCACGGAGCTGACCTCCCATCTCACCCAGCCACATCACACCACTTGTTTACTGTCTTTTGCAGATGCCCTAAACCCTGACAACGACCTATTTTCCCTTCTATTGCGCAAAGCTTCTTTCCTAGAAAGAGGCTTTGTAACGCTGGGTCTGACCAGCCCAGCTCTCCTCCATGTATGTAAAAGGAGACTTCAAATGACTGGCAACTTAACTCAAACACACCCAAAACCCACACGCTGATGAGTTGGAAGGCTCTGTCAGATGCTACCTGAAACCGTCATGTGAGACTGCCAGTTTGGTTTGCAGAGGAATCAGATGAGCAATGTCAGCCTTCACATCCACTCCTCAAATTTACTTCTTCTTACTAGTGCTTTTCATCTGTCTGCTCCTGCTCCAGCATTCAAGAAAGCTAGGAGAAAGTTTTTCTCCAGACATTTCTCCTCTCTTTCTGTCCTTACCTTTGTGTGGCAATGAAAATGTCTGATTTATTTTTTTTTTTAAGGAAATTCGGGAAAAAAATACAAATTAAATCTCCTCATTTCTCTGCCATACTTCCAGGTTTTCAGAATTATTACTCCTCTGGCAGAGGATGGTTTGCAAGGCAAAACAAGACAAACAATGGTAACAAGAGAAACAATGGTTCAAATTTGCTTGTTCAGAGCACACAGTGTTTGATCCCAAGCAGGAGAGCGCTTTTGCTCATTGGTTCAAGCTTCTTTTCAAGCACCCCTTTACCTTGGGGATCTCCATCCTTTCCTTAGGAGGTGCCCTGGCTGTGCCCAAGCTGTAGCAGTGTTATCTCCTCCTCCCACAGTGATGGTTTCATTCAGCTCCTCCAGTTCTTCTCCATCTCTAACCTACAGCCCAGCTTTTTAAGTTAACTCAGAGTCTGTGCTGGTTTATTTTACTGTGCCAGGCTGTAACTTGAAGCTACAAACATAAATTCAGCCTAACAAGGTCCCCTTGGCCAGCTGAGAGCACAGGTTAGAGATTAATCCAACAGCAGCAGATGGTCTAGGTTGAATGCTTGCTGATTGCCCACAGCTGCTTTTTCCTGTCCCCTTGGTACCTGCAGCTTGGCTTGGTATCTAGCTGTGCTCTTGCCTGGACAGACAAGCTGCTCTAAATGAAAACAGAAATGCACAAGAAGCCCTATGTGCTGGGGTCAGGGTCTGGTTGTGAAGCAGCTCATGAGCCCACCAACAGCTACACTAAGAGCAAACCTTGGGAGGGTCACCAAGATATGGTGACTTCCCCTCTGGCTGAGCAAAGTACTTTTTTGCATAGGGACCCAGGTATTCTGCCTGGGTTCTAGTGGCAGGACACAAAACTGCTTTGGGTAACCACCAGTTTTCCTCCCTGAAATTCTTTCCTAGAAAATAACATGATATCTCTGTCAACTACATAAACCCTGCCTGGAAAGCACAGGGAATAAAGAGCCCTTGACTAGAGTTATTCTTTGAGCTTTGGTAGCTCTGCAGATAATTTTCTCCAGTTTGCAGATGAGTGAATGTGACATGAGGTTGAGGTGATACAAAATACAAGTGGTCTTTAAGAGGTCATGGTATTTTATTTTTTGCCTGCTTCTAAATGTGCATAGAATGCAAACAAGTAAGGACCTGGCTGATGGGCTGGTGTCTGCTTGCTTATACAGGGATTATTTGGCACCTGGGATTTTTAATTGCATGACATTGTTAGGGATAGCAGTCACTGGGTATCTTTGGGAATCTTGGCTATGACCAGAATCAAGCCCTGAGCCCCTGGCGATGGACTGCTTCAGTGTCCCCATCACATGCTGAGATAAAGCATCTCTACAGCTAGTCATCTGTATCTGTTTTTTGTAGTTGATGAGCTGTGTATGGTACTTTTGCCCATAATAGTAGTCAGTCCCAGCAGCCCATCTGAAGAGACAGAAACTGTTAGGTGCTATAAACAGACAAGGGCTGGGATGTTGTCAGGTGTCTTTAACACTGAGACAGCAGTGATGTGTTTCCAGTTCCATTAATTTTCTCCATTTTAAAGCTGAAACCCATGAAATTAGCAAGTAGGGGAACACCAATGTTAGGATTAAAAAATAAAAAAATAACAAAACAAAAGAAAGAAAAGAAGCCTTCTTCTGAGCACCCAAAAGGCACAGGAACCACAGGGTAATAAAACATGGACCTGCGTTATTATTTTGCTGTAATTCTGTGCACAGCTACAGAATGTATAGCCTACTCCTGGAATTGCTCTTTCTATTGTTGCATCTATGGGCTTAGATTTAAGGTCAAATTACCTAATTTAAGAATTGAGGAGTATCATCTGATCCACAGTAACTAACCAGGTTCATGCAGGAGTAATGCCCTGCCTCCTGACCATCTACCTCAGTTTCTGAAATCTTCTCCTGTAAACCAGTAGGTCTCAAACCAAAGGCCAGGTTTGTATCATGGGCCATGATACAGCAGTATAACAAGCATCCTAAAAGACAGTACCCTAAAATATTCAGGCATAAGCTAAAACTTATGCTTGGTGTTCATACCAATCTTGACATTTCCTTTCACATTCCTTTCTGACTAAAGAATGAGAGGGAGAAAACACAGCCCTGCCTATACTCCCTGATGGACAGAAAAATCCCATTACTGCCTCCTCCATCAGGCAGGAAAGGCCTTCAGAATGGCACTGGAAGGTCACATATTTCATTGCTGTCTTGTTTTCTATGAAACTGCAGCCCGCTGCTTCCCAAGGCTGAGGATCCAGCCCCTCTGGATCTCACTTAGGAGATGTCATGGACTTGCTGCCATCCACAGGTTTCTCTGATGGGAAACCATCCAACAAGCTGCTGGTCCTCATACCTTTTGTATTTGGAAGTCTATTCAGCTTTACCAGAGGGCAGGAAACCAGCAAAGCATTATGAACCCAGGATGAAAATAGTGGCACTGCAAAGGTCTGCCTTTTATAATTTTTCACTCTGATTTCCTCTTTCTATACCAAAATGTGCCAACAATTGTTTGTTGTTTTTTTTTTCTCCACAAGCTTTTTAGAGCCTGCCACAGTACACATGGGAATCAGTGAGGTTTGTGCTATTAGTTGATCTAAGAAAGGACTGATGTGGATTGCAATTTTCAAGATCTGCAAGGAGAATTGCATGGGTGGTATCATTATGTTCAAATAGTAATTTGGGTTCTAAGCCTCTTACAGAGTGCTAAAATACTACCCTGGCCATTGGTATGACATGGAGGAGGAGACTTGGAGACAGCAACCCTGACACCCTCAGCTTGGTTGTGCCAGATGTAATGTAGGAGGCTGGAAAACCTCAGGTAATAACTTCGACCACATTCAAACCACTTACTATGGAGTATGATAAAGCCCTAAACATGCACGGGGCTGGAGGGACATTGTGAGCAATATCATCCAGAACAGCAATGGACCTGGCATGCTCTGCAGCTGGTGGGGATCTGCAGGACCCTGTTCAAACAAACCTTATATGGTGCTTTTATTTCTTCCCACTGATGGTGTACAGAACTAGGGATCTGGCAGCTCTGGAAATGCAAAATCCTGAAGTAATCATGGTTTTCAGGATAATAGTAGGTACTGAAGTCTGTAACTGAAGTTACATAGTCAGCAGTCCGAGGAGTGCCCTTGGTTTTGCGGTGCTGTATCTGGTGGGCAAATTTTTCCCAGCCCATGACCAATTCTCCCTGATGTTTGAGGAAAAGTGCAAGCAAAAAAGCTTCATAGTGCAATAACCTAGGCCATTTTCTACAAAATAAGGCAATTAAGGACCGGAAACTCTTCCAAAGTGCTACAAAGACATGACGCTGTTGTTCGTTTTGTCTGGACCTGAGCCCAGGGCCCATGACTAGACCTGTCATATCCCCACACCTTCAAAGCCAGAGCCTGGGCTGTGTTTGTGCTCTCCTGTCGCAGGGTGAGAGCTTTCCTGGAGCCACCGAAAGAGCTTGAACGCTTTCTTCTGTAATCTGTCGTGACTGTCAGGATGCCAAGAGACATGCCAGACCTAGACACTGGGCCAAAATAGCTATGTAGACATGCCCAGAAAGGAGAGCTGGCACAAGGTGTTGTATAAAATGAGATACGTGAAGCTGCAGGCAAATATTTTGGTAATCGCATGGGTAGCTTAGGCTTGGCAGAGGGCAGGGCACGTCTGCTCATCAAGAAAGGAGGAGGCAAAACTTTACCAGCTTGGAAAAGGGTTGGAGCCTGTTTTAGTGGGAACTCAGGGGAGCTTCAAGGGGTTAAACAAAAATAATTGCCCCAGAAAGGTTGAGGTGAAGGACTCAGTAGTGTCCCAGGGAGGCCACAAGCACCTTTTCAAAATAGGTTTTTCCAGGCGACAAGATCCCATTCCTGATAATGTATCATTATAATTACCATTTCATGGTAAGGTTCAGAAGTGACTGGAGGAAGGACCATACACTTTGCTCAGTGCTTGTGCAGGGAGAGCCTCCACGTGTCTCTTCACCTCCGTGTTGACCTAGAAAGTTCAGCCTCAAAGGATGGGAGCGGAAAATCTAGTCCCTACAACTGGGGTAGCTACAGCACAGAGTCAGTGAGGCAGACCGCAGACACACTGCACTAAAGCATTGCACCTAATTAGCTTCTGCAAGTTGGGTATATATATGCCCGAAGAGGTTGTTACTGTCGCTCACAACCATCCAGTTCCCTGCTGAATGTTTTTGATCAAAGTCTTCCCAAGCTGATCTATTTTCAGCCCAACCCACTCAATACCTTGATTGCTACACAGCTCTTTTAGCTGCTCTTAGGTAAACATGCTGTCGCTCCTTGGCATTTTGCCTTTCTAAGCCAAAAATACAAGTGGCACAGAAAATAAGAGAAGCTGTTCTCCTTCGCCAGGAAAAATTATGCTATTTCTGAAATAAACTGTTTTTAATACACCTCACTGGCCATGCACGTATACACTTACATATAAATATACTTGAAATGGAGGTCCAGCTGTTGGCATCATCTGCCTACATGGAGACAGAAACAGAGAGACAATTATGTACCTATAAACCCAGACACATCTTCAGTCCAGTCTGTATCTGAATGCAGAGTTTTGGTTATGCTGAGATATCAGGGGCTGACTCCCATTAAAATAGGTCCACGTGTACTGAACTCAAACCTGTGGGTTATGTTCTCTTCTGGAGAGCTCATCTGCTGTGGCTGTCCTTAGGGAGGGTGACTAGCATGATGCTCATACTGGGAACTGTTTTGCATCATATGGTGGAGCAGGGGGTGTGGAACAGATACTCTGGAGACCCCTCTGTGCTAAAAGCCATAACTGGTGACTATGCACGTGAGATTGGCTTTGCCCATCCTTGGTTCTCTATGGGCTGACATGGCCCCACATGAGATGAAGGACAGCACAGGAAGCACTTCACAGATCCACCCTCAGTCAGCATCCCCGGAGCTAAGCCAGAGCAGGCTTCAGCAGATCAAAATCAGAGATCAATCCATGGCAGACCTTATTTTTACAGAATGACAAAATAAGGTCTGCCATGGGTTGAGAAGATCCACCAGCCAGACCTTAAAGTCATGTTTTCAGTTTCCCCTCTAGTAAGTAAGCACATAGAAGTCAACAATAGATGGAGCATCACATGGAGTTGCAGAGGTCAGCACAGACTTCAGAAAACCCGCGAGTCTGAAAAAGAAATAATTTGGAAAGGGGAGCATCTGGGAGATTATTGTGACATGCTGAGGAAGAAAGCAATACATACTGGTGTGTGCTGTCTTCTCTGCAATATGCACCTGAAAGTTTTGATTTTGTGGAAGAAGACAAAGATGGGCAGATAACAAAACAAGCTGACAGCTCCTGGGTAGGAAAGACTTTTGTGTTTTTTCTTTGGTTGGAGACTAGAGAATACAGGCAAAAAGGTGTTAAACTGCAGACATAATGGGCAGGAGTAAAGCAGGCAAATGTAAAACAAAAGATTTTATGCAGCAAGTGCAGATTGAGGCAATGTGATAGAGAAGGACAGCTTCTTCAGGAGTTTATATAGTACTGTAGGGAGTCTGGGTGACAAATAAAGGATTCGGGTGAGTGCTGCAGTAATGGGCTGTTATGTGTGATGGAAGATGGAAGGGAGGAAAGGAGCAGAGGACACCTATTAATAAAAATAGCATATTCCATTTAAGCTTTATTGGTAGCTCAGAGCCAGGGAGTCTTTCATGCCTTTGCATTTTTGAGCTAACATTACCCAAGAGTGGGTAGTGGCAGGGATCCGCTATGAGCACTTAAAGTGGAGAATAGCTCCAGCCTCTAATATGAAGAAATTAAAAGACTTTGGTTTACAGAGATGTCAGTCTGAGAAACCTGTGTGTAGCAGCAGAATAGCATTAGTGTTTCTAAAAACACAGCTGGTCATTTCTGAATATGCAATATCATGTATCAAAAATGAAATCATTCAGCTGAGGTCTCAGTATGGTGGCTATGGACTAATTCAACGCTGGACGAAAAATTAACGGCTGCCTTGGGACCGGTGTTTACTAGCTAGTGACATTCAAAGGAAGGACATTCCCATCTGGTCATGGGGAGAGCAGTGACAGTGCAAAAAGATAAAGTGATCAGAGTGGACAAAGAGCAGGTGATGAACTCGCTCCAAAGGAGGGTCAGAAGGGAATGGTGTCATCCTGGAGGTGAAGGTCTGAGTCAATATGAGAGGGATGCAGAGGTAAGGTTGCTTCCATGCAGGGTGTTAATGAAACAAGTACTGTAAACTTCCTGCTAAAACAGTGCTGGGAAGTTGGGCATGGTGAGTCACCAACATAACCTGAGAGCTGGAGGCCCCCCACAGGTTGAGGGTTAACAGACAATCTAAATTTGAGAGCGGACTTCATTACAGCTGAAGATTGCCTCCAAGGGTAGAGGATACAAGGTACACTGCAGAGAAAAATGTGACAATAGCAGAGAGCTGGAAAGCTGAAGTGCAGGTGAATTTACATTAGAAAGGAGGCAGGTTTTTTAACAGTGATGCTGACAAGTGATTAGGGCACACTTAAGAGCAGCAGTATATATTCCCCACACCAAGCCTTGCGTGCAGCTAGTAGACACCTTAGCAGGCCATGGAGAGAAAGAGGCACCTTAGAAGCACCATAACTCACCTGGTTAATTTTTGATATCCACTGGAAGATGGGATGCTTGTGTCCTGGCTTACATCAACTGCTCCATCAGTATTTCAACAGATTTAGGTAGACGAATGCAGAACCTTGTACTTCCAAATCAATGCTGCTCCCATGACAAATTGAACTTTCAGCCAGAAGATGGAATTCCCGAAGGGGTAAGTTATCTTTAATGGACTGTGAATGGTCAGAGGTTGCAATTTTCATGGCTCCAGCCTGTGCATCTCATGCTGCATGAAACATGCTGGATGTAATGTCAGGCAATTTACCTATGACCATCTCTTCATGCTGAGCAAATATTTGTCTTATCATGGTTTTAATGTGCCCGTCAGTGATAGCTAAATGTCAAGCACAAAATAAAGCAGTGCCACCTGGGAAAGACTCTCCACTCTGCCACATGTTGCTTTTGTTTGAGGTTTCATCAGTATGTTGGGTACAAAGTTCGGCAGTGAGGCAACATAAAGAAATTCTCTATTTCCAGAGGTGGTGTTTGAGGGGCATTCATGACATTTGGACACAATGCAGTTCATAGAGTATTATTATTGGGTGTACTGCTCAATAATGACTGAGTCCAAGCCCCCAGCTTTTCATCCCTTCTCCCTCTTGCTCCTGGTGGCTCTGTTGCATCTGACACCAATTTGCTCTCTGGTGTTTGAAGCCAAGTTTCTTGTCCAGTGACAGAGTGTCTCCAATCCGGAAGGGGCTGCTGCAGAGATCCACAGCTCTGCAGGCTACTGCCACATTTGGAGTGACCGGGAGGTCGCTCAAAAAGAAGAAAACAAAGGCAGTGATCACCCTGCAGTGCACAGCAGCCACAGAGCTGGGAGAGAAGGGGAACACAAGCGGTACATTTAAGACCCCACAGAGAAGGGAAAACACAGGAAGTACATTTAAGACCTGCATTTTGCTTCATAGTATATTCCTTATGCTTTCCATAAAATACTTCTTGTTTTTTAATCTTACTCTTTCCTCTTTACCCTTCCCTCCCATTCCTTTGCCCCTTCCCCTTCCCTCCCATTCCCTTGACCCTTCCTCTTCCCTTGCACCTTTTCATTCCTGTGTCCCTTCCCCTTTCCTTGCCCCTTCCTCTTTCCTTGGCTCTGCCCTTTTCCCTTTTCTCTACCATCTCTTCTCTTCTTCTCTTTCCTCTGCCCCTTTCCTTATCTCTTCTTTTCTCCTCCCCAGTCCTCTCCTATTTCTCTGTACCAAATGAAAAACAAGGACTATGAGGATTCTGCCTGCATAGATGGAGAAGCTGGGAAAGCAGCAGGGAGGGCTGACCTTGGAGCACAGAGAGAAGTGGCTGCCAGCTCCAGTTTGATGGCAGTTAGTGTTACAGCACAAAGGGGGAAAGGCAATTCTTGGGAAGAGATGGGGCCTGGGGGGCAGGGGGGGGGGGGGCAGTGAAGAACAACGAAATGGCAAAAAGAGCTTTGGAGGTATGCAGCAGAGCTATCCCTTGTGCACCTGCCTCTATTGTGACTAGGTGCAACGCTCCCATTTCTCAAGCAATTGTAACTCTCTGGGCAGAGAAGGAAAATCCATGGAGATGATCTGGAATATACCCAAAATGAAGCCATTTTCTGCTGGAAAAGTCTGTAAAACCACAGTGCTGTAATGGGAACTAAGACCCTTCTGTAGGATACTTGGGGTTGTATGTGTATTGTGATGGAGCACATCCAAAGAAGAGCAATGAAGCTGGTGAAGAGTCCGAAGCACAAGTCTTATGAGGAATGGCTGAGGGAACTGGGGTTGTTTAGACTGGAGAAAAGGAGGCTGAGGGGAGTCCTTACCACTCTCTAAAACTACCTAAAAGGAGGCTGTAGTGAGGTGGGGCTTGGTCTCTTCTCGCAAGTAACAGATGATAGGACAAGAGGCAATGGACTCAAGTTGTGCCAGGGGAGGTTTAGACTGGATATTAGGAAAAAATTCTTCACTAAAATGATTATTGGAAGAGATTGCCCAGGGAAGTGGTTGGTTCACCATCCCTGGAGGTATTTAGAAGATGTGTAGATGTGGCACTCAGGGACATGGTGTAGTGGTGAACGTCACAGTGTTTGGTTTATGTTTGGACTTGATGATCTTAAGGGTCTTTTCCAACCTAAATGGTTCTATGGTTTTATAATTCTATGATATTCAAAGTCTGGAGAAAGATATTCCCTGTGGACTGAATTAATTCCGATCTTCACTTGCCACATTCCCTTCATCATGCTTAACATTGTTAAAATGCTAAGGAACAAGAACAATGTTAAGAACCCTGGAGAGCACATTGACTTGTCCTTATAGGATCAGTGAATAAATAGGTTGGAAAGGACCTCAAGAGGTCAAATCTTCTGCCCAGAGCAGCAAATCACTAGGCACTAGCTGTTAGGTAGGTTTCCCCCTCTCAATTGGCAAGAACTGCTGTATGAACATTCTTTCTGTTAACAATTTGGATCTGCTGTTTCAGGCTCTACCCAGAGCTGTACAGACTCTGGCCCTGACACCTTGCAAGCTGTTCTACCCATTCTACGTGCTAGGGCAACTTTAGGACAGGACTACATCATGACCCATTCTTGCATTAGTGACTCAGCATGTGCCATGCCAGCCAGCCCAGCTGGGGGCTTTCCCAACCTCACTGCCTCTGCTCCTGCCCCCTTCCATGCTGCCCTGAAGCTCCCTCTCAGGGCTGATGATCACTCCTTCTCCCTGGACTCCTAATTCAAACTCCACATATTTCTCCTGCCTTGGGCTACATTCTCCTCGACTTCTGCTTTGGTTTAAAAATGGTTTAAAAATATTTCCAAGTGTATACAATGTGTTTGCAACATCCTTTGAGTCGGAATATTGTTTGTTGTTGCAGCTTCTGTCCACATGTTAGCTTCCTTGGCCTCCTCTTATGCTTTCTTTCTGTAACATATTTTACCTTGGAAAGGGCTCTTTGTAACTACTCAAAATAGGGACAGGAAGAAAAGTCCTGGTAGGTTTTACTGTTGTTTTTTCTCCGAAGTATTTGGAAAGTT